AGTGACCGTTCTGGTCACCCCATTTTCGCCCAAATTTATTTTATTTTTTTTTATTATTTTTTTTTATTACATGGGCTCATCTTAGCTCGTGGGCTCGTCTCACGAGCTGCTCGGCGAGCCGCTCGTGAATAGTGACAGCCGAGCGGGCTCGGCTCGTCTAGCGAGCCAGCCCGCTCGGCTCTTGCTCGTGCTCGTGCTCGCTTTTTAACGAGCCTGAGCGATTCGTGGGCGTGAACAGTACGAGCCGCGAGGCCGAGCCGACGAGCCGCTCGGCTCGGTTGACACCACTATGTTGAACTTAGTAGAAGAAATCAAACTCTTTTGAAGCACAAAGAACTTCCAGAACTTGTAATGTTAAGAACTTTATAAAGTTTGAATGTTTGAGCTTCAACATTTTTGCCAGGTTTTTTTTAGAGAGAAAATGAAATAAACGTTAAAAAATTGTATACTTATTTGGCAATTGAGAATGGAGATGATATCAATTTAAAATATAGGAAAGGGTATAGCCATTAATTTGTTTTTTTTCCCTATGTTTTTTGTTAATTTGGGTAACTTAAATAGAAATAATTATATGTAAAGTTGTCCTTTCAAAATAATATTAAGGAATAATGTTTTTCATAGTTAGTGACTACAGTAGTCATTCTATGTGACGGCTACTGCAGTTGCTGATTATGAATAACATTATTGCAATCTCCGCTTCAATATTTATTGATATGATTTTATGCAAAATAGAGTATATTAATTAAAATATGGACAGATTTTAAAATTTGATTTATGAACTTTCCCTATATATATTGAATAAATTTCTTAATGAACTTTCAAAATGAAATTCTAACCTAGATAATACGAGCCACGACCCAACACTTATGTCCTCACTTTTTTTGTTCTCTTATAATCAATCTTCTATGGAAAATATTCATTAGTAAGACATTAAATATGAGATATTTCAAATCTAAGAAATAAGATTTATGTTTTCAAAAATCAGATCTTAATTTAAACTTTATTAATTAAATATATTATGGTCACAATATTATATAATTTATGGTCACAATTATGTATTTGTCATAATTATAGACGCCACAGTCACAAACAATAAAATTTATAGGTCCCAATTTATTTCTCGGTTACAAATTAAATAAATTAATTGGTCACATATTATTTTTCGATCACAAATTACAAATTTTATGAGTTACAATTTATTTCATGATCACAAAATATAAAATTAATTGGTTACAAATTATATTTAAGTCATATGTTATCAAATTATTGTTCACAACTTAACAAATTTTTAGGTCACATTTTTTTATTAGTCGCAAATTATCTATTTCGTTGATCACATATTATTTATTAATCACATTTTAACCAATTTAACTGTCACAATCAACAAAACAATTTGTAACCACACCACTGCCTCTAGCAGCACCATCGCAACTACGATGATGATGACAACCAACACCACCATGACAGCTACCTGTACCAACCACCGTCACCACCATCTCCTCAAATCCATTACATCCTCCACCTCTACTGCCACCTGTACCTACACCTCAATACACCACAACCACCACCACCACCACCACCAACAAAAAAATACTCAAACAAGCCACTGCCATTGCACATGCACCTAGACCTACACCTCAATACACTACGACAGCCACCATTGACAACAAAGTTCCTAAACAAGCCACCTCCACCGCAATACACCACAAATCCACTCAAAAAACGCATGCTACCACAAAAATCGAAAGAAAGAGAGAAACAAATCCGACGGCTAGAAGGCCTCTAATGAGCAATAAGAGGAAAATGTAGATCTGCCTCTAATTCGAATGACAAGAAGGATAGCAATGAGCGGTGAATGCTCAACTACGCCGATCTCGCAGTTGGCACCGCTCTCTTGCAGCTACGCTGATCCTCTCCATATAGCAAGAGAGAAGATGGAATAGGTAGAGAGAAGAGAGGGGATGTCGGTTGCCTTCTGAGTGGAAAGATATGGGTATTGAGAGATGTAGAGAGAGAAATAAGGGGGGAGAGAAATTAGGGTTTATGATGAATTTTGGTTGTATTAATACTATTAAATATTTGAATTAAAATTTGATTTTTGTATAAACGAAGTTTATATCTGATTTTTTAAATTGGATTTTGAAAGATACGGCTGGGTGTAATTTCCACATCTTCTGTTATGTCCTCAGGATCAGTCCCTAAAATGGTTTGTTTCCGATATTTTGTTAGCATATTTTGAAATGAAGTGCAAACATTATGTCGCATTTTGTATTTTTCTTCATTAAACCATATAGGAAGCAAATAAGTATTTTTACACTCTTCTGACGGACTTTTCGAATGGAAACTATAATCATGGACAATATGTGCTAATTAACGAAATATTAAGGATTAGACTACAACATCAAAAAAGATTGATGAGATAAGTAAGAAAATAAACAAATATTAAATACAATGCAATTAAAAAGTGGTGTACTAATAAAAATTGCGACGTGAATGTAATTCACCATTGATAACATGGTTACCCAATTTGACCACCCCATTCTGTTCTTGCTATGCTGAGAGTAAGTCTCGACTCAGTTGTGAAAATTTAGTCTTAGCCCTTCTTTGGTTCAAAAAATTAAATTTTTAATAAATTTTGATGAAATTGATGGAATGTGTGGTTGAAGAGTTAAGGATCGTATGAAATTTGTAATTAAAATAAATTCTTAACTTTGACTTCAAAATTTTTAATCAACTTTTTTAGTTGAACCAAATAAGATTTTAGAATCCGTTTTATTATTTGACCATCCCATTCAATTCTTACAATGCTAGGAGTCTGTCGTGATTCAATATTGAAAATGGGACCTTAGAATCCGTTTTGCAAATACACTTTATGAGATTCACAAGATATAGGATCGATGTAGTCCTTAAAAACAACTTATTGATGAAAACATTAAAACCAAGCTTGCATTAGCCCTTTACACAGTGAAAAGTTAAATACAGTAGGAAATTTAGCCAAGAAGAGTAATCAAAATTCGTCGTGCGCATTCAATTGTTCAGAAAATGAGGAGAATTCGATTCGAGAACCACATCTTCCATGTGGGAAAACTGGACACTGAATGAAATTGGATGACGAGGTATCCACGCACAGGTAAACTTGTAATAGTTGATGATTCCCCGATGAATCCACATTGCACTCTATGAACGGGGCATACCCGACACCTTCTTCAATTGCTTGCTTTACGCTCTCTAAGCTGTAGAATTTTCCGGGTCGAATCCCTGCAACAAAATTTCACTTGGGTTAATCTTGTTAGAATTTGGCTTAAAATTGTTTCAATTTCATTTCGAGCCTAGTATGTACCTGCATTTTGAAGGACTTGTAGCAAATTGGCTTTTTTCTTGAGGTCAAGAGCTTTTTGGAAGTAAGTGTGTTGATCGAGGGTGGTACATGTCCCGTGTTTATTCCATTCATGACCCCAGAATTTGAAGCCATCGCTGCTTGGGCAGGCTAGGGTTGGCCAATCTTTCTGCATTCTGTTAACAAGATCTGAGACCTGTATAATATACGTAGTCATCAATTGTATTTTTTTCATATAAATCTTGACATGATACTATTATGAACGGATGACGGTGAGACTTGAATTTGAAACGCTTGTTTGGTCTAATAATATGTTCCTGTTTAGTTTAGTTAAAAATTAGATTTTCAGTAGATTTTGATTAAAATTGATGAAATGTGTGATTAAAAAGTTGATGTCACATAAATATGTGTGGTTGAAAATAAGTCGGAGGAAAAATGAGTTTTAAAAAATGAGGATCAAACATGGACTATACTGTATCTAAAAGCTAAACTTTTAAACCAAAGAGGTTTATTTATTACTTTAACAAATCAAACCCGATATTATGCCTTGTTTGGTGTAAATTAAAATCAGATTTTTAATAAAATTTGATGATATATATAGTTTAAAAGTTGTAGATTTCATAAAATATATAGTTAAAAATTAATTATTAATTTTGACTTAAAATTAAAATCATATTTCTTTTACCAAGGAAGGGCTATATGTCCCATCACCCATGACTTAGAGATGGCTACACTTATAAGCAAAGTCCTAAAGGAGGTGACTTCAAAACTAGTGGATTGAACTACCTAAAATTTTAAACTATATGTTGAGTATGGTCCCTTTCAAATGATGTTCCACTGTGACAAAATACCACATACTTTCCTTTTTACTCTCTTTTCAATAATGTTATTCATTGTGGGTGCTAGTAGATGGATATGCGACATCTTACATGATATAATTTTAATAATTTAAATAAGGAATAACTTTTAATAATGTTATGCCATATAAGATGACACATATGATGACTACTGCAGTCGTTAACTATGAGCAATACTGCCATTTTTCTTTTCTTCTTTACTATAGTTGATATACGTTAATGTTTTATTTTCCTCTTTACTATAGTTGATATTATATTAACAATGTTGTAAGCATTCGGATTATTTGCAACGCATGTATATGCATGTGATACTTTCCTATCCACATAATTCGTTGTATTACTTTATGCACCATTTTGATGCTTTTCGAATAGTTATTCGTTGTTGCAAAAAGAAACATTATTTAGAATTTGTTTGGCCGGGTTAAAAATCAAAAGTTATTTATGAGACTAGAAGATTATTTTTGAACATGCTCGAATAAATTTTTAAAAGTGTTTTGTTTGATTAAAAGAGATTTTAAAGAAAGTTGATTTGACGTGATTTCCTCAAGAAACTCTTCTACATAAAGCTACTTATAAGCTTTATCGAACGAGGCCTCAAAAACATTAGTTATTCGTTGTTGCGAAAAGAAACATTATTTAGAATTTGTTTGGCCAGGTTAAAAATCAAAAGTTATTTATGAGACTAGAAGATTATTTTTGAACATGCTCGAATTAATTTTTAAAAGTGTTTTGTTTGATTAAAAGAGATTTTAAATAAAGTTGATTTGCCGTGATTTCCTCAAGAAACTCTTCTACATAAAGCTAGTTATAAGCCTTATCGAACGAGGCCTCAAAATCCCCATTCAATTCTTGTATTAACTATAATGAATAAGGAAATACAAGTATTAATCCAGAAACTTAGCCCTTGTTTAATATGGATTAAAATTTGATTTTAATTTTAATTTTAATTTTAATCAAAATCAATAATTAATTTTAATGACATAGTTAATGAGATCCACAACTTTTGAATCACATATTTTATGAATTTTAATCAAAATTTACTAAAAATCTACTTTTTATTTACATCAAATAGGGGCTTAATACTAATTAAAGAATCTAGTATTTTTTTTATTTTTCTAGTTTAAGGACTAAATCAAACCTTTTAGAATATTAATGCAACTTGGTAGTGCATGCTATTTGAAACCTATGTACACCTAACAATGACGATCGACACAGTGATAACATTTCATTTTTACATTGATAGTAAAAATATTCATACTATTGAAAGTTAATCACGAGAAACAACTTTCGGGCAAATTTTAACATCCTTAGTTTCAAGAACATACCTCAGATTGATCAAAAGAATTCTCGCGATCGCAGTTTGATGGCCATTTTCCGTCGTTATAATTTGGCCATAACCCATGAATACTGAAATCTTCAGCAGGCTTTCCTGTTGTAGGATAGCAACAGCTATGTCTCGAATCACAGTAAGAAGCAGGCCACTGTATTACAATCAGATGTGACAACATAGACATGCGTTAAGGTTGATCATACTAAACATTATAAAGAAAACATGTCTTATTCGTTGGACTCAGATGCACACGTGACAAAAGTTTACATATCGACACTATCTAGTCCAACATACACAAAACACGTCATATAAGTACACATGTATGTGTCATAGAAAGACAAGTTTACACACCTGTTGAACGAAGTAGAAGAAATCAAAATCCTGTGAAGCACATAAAATCGATAGATATTGTAAAACCAAAAGCTTGATCCATGCTGAATTCTTAACTTTCATCCTTCTATATTTGAACTTCAACTTCCTTTTGCTTTGGCACTTTATCACACTATACGTTTATGTGTGTGTGATGCAAGAATTGGTGAGGATTGTCTGTATTTATAAGCAAAAGATATGGATGAAGGATGGAATATCCAAAAAAGTTTATACCTAATTGTCATAAAATTTAATTACAAACTGAGTTATTAAGGGAAATTGGCGTGCAAATATTCTCTTGTTAAGGTTTCGTAAACCGATTTCATGCTCTTATTTTAGAGTCCATTCGACAGAACTTTTATTTTGCTTTTGTTTCGTGTAGAAGAGCTTCCAAATGAAGCTATTTTAGATCATCTTCCTCTAAAAGTTTTTCTAATCTGTAAAGCATTTTCAGAAAATTATCTAAATGGGTCGAAAATAGTTTCTTAATATGAGACATAGCTTTTGACTTATCAAAGGCCTTTTTAGACTAGCCTTTAATAGATCGCACCAAAAAAAAAAAATTAAATATTGTTGTGCATCTACACTTCTGGATTATTAACATAGGTTCATTAACTCTCAATTAATTACTATTAATTTTATTGAAACCATTTTGAATTTCTTCAACTACATTCAAATTATTCTATTATAATTGCTTGGTACCAAACAATGCTGTAACTTGAAAGTTGGAACTCTATTGTTGTAACAATTTCTTGACACAATAGAATTCCTTTAAGGCACATTCTATGGTCACTCCACCTAAAAAAATTGAGTTTTTAAAGGTTTAGAAAATAATTTACTTATATTTAGAAAATTCATTTTCTGCCAAAATAACGAGACACGAAACACTTTTAATAGTTCTAAAATAAAACCATAATCAACTAAACGAGACAAATTTTTCTATGCTTTTCGCGTAAGGAAACCCGTTGCTTAATCCTTAACTTTCCACTAGGATAGATAGATGTCGGATTAGTTACACAAAAACGGCGTACATTAATATCTAAATCTATAATATATAGCCTAAGGGAACGAATAATGCATCTGAAACTAGAGAGACATTCTAATTAATTGCTATTATTGTCGGGGCAAGTTTTGTTTTCCATTATAATACTTTAGTTTCTTTGATCTTCAACCTTTAAGCTGAAGTATGGGCACCCCTATCTTTAAGGCAATAACGACAACGTGTACGTTTGCAAGTTTCCAAGAGTTCCTAACAACTCATTTTATTGCAATAACAAACAGGATGACCAAATATATAGAGTTATATTGTGGTTTCACACGGAAACGTACCTTTTCAAAAGTAGTATTCGTTTAGTTTTCCAAGAAATTCTTTTCCAATGGGTCGAGACCGAGGACATGCTCAGAAATGTGATTTAGTCTGGCCAGAGCGTAGTTAGAGGGAGGTTATAGAAAATATTTGGGCTGCGCTATTATGGCCATGTCTGGGCGCACAATTTCAACTAAAGAAAATTGATTTTTGCACCGTTAGCACCCCAAGTCAGCCGCACATTTTGACCACTCCCCTCGCAAGCGGGTCCCACCGGCTACCTTTAACGATCACTATTTCAATTAAAATTTGGCCACAATCTCTCCCAGACATGACTATATATAGAAAGAAATGATCTATTAAGCATCCATAAACTTATTCAACAGTTAATTGATATGTCATGTCACTTTACGAGACGAGGCTGTGAGCCTTATCATTCAAAGGCCCATAAAAATTAACGTATTTTCTCCATAACTGCACACAAAGCTCCAAACTTTTTGATTCTTTGCAAGTCCATCAATTTTTGATTTGTCAATTTAAGTCCTTCGAGTTTTGATCATGTTTACATTGGTCCATCATCTTTCAAACTTGCTTGCTTTGTTCTCCATTCATTTTTTGTGCGATGCTTAGTCCCCTACCATAAGGTTTTCATACATTTTTGGTCCTTCACTTCTATTTTCTTCAAATTTGATCTTCCACGGTTTGAGAATGATCAAGTTGGTTGTCAAACTTTTCCAAAAATAGAATTTGATCATCAAAACTTGTGAATTCTATCTCTTCAATTCCTCTTTTTAGCTCCAAATCTCTTCATTTATGCTTCATTCACCTCCAAGTCCGAGTTTTTACATGAAAAAGCATTATGAACACTAAATTAAATAAAAGTTCAATCAATTAATCTCTGTTATGCATGTTTAAAACCTAAATAAACTCGTAGAATACACTTATCAATTACTGTCACATGGACTGAAAGTCCATCCATTCGAATAACATATACACTGCAATCCAAGCTATTCATTGGAGATGCTCTACTTAATCTTATCATTTCATAAAATACAAATACCACATAGATTACGATCATCTCTAACAAAAATAAATAATAGTCTCGTTTTTCCACGCATGGATGTGGGTGCATTTCAAACCAAATTAAATAATTATAACTCTGTCAATTTCAATGTGATCACATTGATGTGCCATGTGACATATCTCAAATGACACTAAATTAAACCAGTTAAGAGCATGGATATGGACCAGTCGACATAGCATTTACTCCTTTTCAGTTAAAATATCTCTAATTTGATTTGTATTTTCCAACATGCAAGATCCAATGTCCCTAAAAATGCAGTCTTTTCATTCTTACTTCAAAATCAGTTCTCACACACCAAGATGAGCTCAATATTAATCAAGATTTTGTCAATACAATTCTTGTTTTTCCTCTGTGCCTCACAGCAGTATGATTTCTTTTACTTGGTTCAACAGGCAAGTTTTTCTCTAACTATTTTCTCCATTAATCATCAAAGAATATGACACCTAACTGCGTTTTGCAGTGGAATCCATCATATTGTGATACAAAGAGAAGCTGTTGCTACCCAACCTATGGAAAACCTGCAACAGATTTTGGTATTCATAGCCTATGGCCGTATTTCGCCAATGGTTCATACCCACAAAATTGCAATAAGATCCACAAGGCAGTCTATGATGAAGCTATAGTAAGATCTGTGACAATTAAGGATTTATTGTATCGAAAAACTTAGTTTTTCGTTGTATATTAGTTGATGGACCTTGGATGTTACTGTACTTTTTACAAAGATTTTTGGTCTAGGAAACTTCTGAAATTTGTAATGTTCTAGATTTCAGACCTGATTGGTAGAATGCAAAAAGATTGGCCAAGCTTGTCATGTCCAAGTACTAATGGCACAAAGATCTGGAAGCACGAATGGACAACACGTGGCACTTGTTCAGTGGCTACACTCGATCAGCATTCATATTTTGAAGCAGCTTTGAACATGAAGGAGAAAATTAACATCATTCAAATTCTCAAGAATGCAGGTAAATCCCCATATCGATCATGTAATTGCATATTTGATAAGCTGGACTGAGCAACATGGGATTTTATAAAGAATGAAAAATATTGTACCATATCACGTTTGCAGGAATCAAACCAGGAGGAGTTTATAGCATGTTTGACATTAAAGAAGCTATAAGAAAGGTAACTGGACATGAAGCAGGTATACATTGCAACAAAGACGCAGTTGGTAAGTCGCAGCTTTACCAAGTTTATGTTTGCGTTGATCCATCTGGTTCGAAAGTCATTGAATGTCCAGGGATTCCCATGGGAAAATGCAAATCCACCATTAAGTTCCCTTCATTCTAGACATGTTGTGGCTTGTTGGGGGTGGGGGACGGGTTCTAAATTGATTGTATTTTTTGTGTTTGTCATGAATCTATATTTGCTCAAGGAGTTTCGTATTGATTCCTAGCTTGTCTATTGAAATGAAAAAGATAGAAGAAAAAAAATGAAATTGTGTTGTAACAAACTAGTTTGTAAAGGCTTATTTTTCAGCTTTCCACATTGTGTTGTATGATTTAGAACACATTTGACATGACGTCTACTTTTGCTTCAACTTCTTGAGGAAGTTATCATTGGTCAACTTAGAGCTCGTTTGGTACACATTAAAAATTTAAAATAAGAGAATGCATTTTTTTGAAGTGATGTGATGAGAAATATATTGTTGAAAAAGAAGGAAAATTTATTGATGTGATGAAAAATATTATTTCATTGAAGAATGTGTGGTTGAAAATAAGGTTAATTACCTCAATAGTCATTGAACTTTATCGAAAGTTTCCACCAGATCACTAAACTTTAAAAATTACATGATTAGTCTATGAACTTTCGAAAGTGCAACTTCATCCATTACTGAACTTTAAAAATCACTCAATTCATCACTGAATTTTGTAAAAGATTTCTACGGGGTCACTAAACTTGCAAAATTCAGTGACGAATAGGGTGATTTTTAAAGTTCAGTGATGGATGGGGTTGCAATTTCGAAGGTTCAGTGACTAACCGCGTAGTGTTAAAGTTCAGTGACCTGGTGGAAACTTTCGGTTAAGTTCAGTAGTGACCTGGTGGAAACTTTCGATAAAGTTCAGTGACTATTGGGATAATTAACCCTTGAAAATGAGTAGAAAAATGAGAATGAAAAAAATAATGTGGATCAAACATGGGCTTACTCTAAAAACTCTTTTACTCATACAAAATATTTTAAGAAAATTATTTAAATAAGTTTGAAATCAGCTTCTTAGTCTTAGGAAAAAAAAATTGACTTCAAAAATCTTGACAAACAAGTCATTAATCACAACCAAACATGCTTTTAATCAAATGCATAATACAACAAACTAAGCTATTTTTTATTTTTTTTGGAATAAATATGAATTGGATTACATGAATCATTTTACTCCATTCCATTCAATTCATTGTCATATTCGCTTGAGTACGAAATAGCTAAACTTCACAAGATAGTATTATTTGCAAAACAAGCAAGAAATCTCTTACATAGAAAAGAATGACCTAAAATTGTAGATATAAAATTTCTATTATGCGTATCAATATGCTTCGTTTCCCTAAAATTCTGGTGGATCATGATTTGCTGGAATGTGTTAGATGCTTCCGTCGAGTCGAGTTGGGCTTATAGGGTGATATTTCTAACTTAATTGCTGAGTTATGCCCTTGTGTGCAACGGACTATTGCATAGAACTCAGTGGAACTCTTCTATCTAACCTCATGTGCTTGATTACACTGTTCAATATGGCTGATCTGGTGATATATAACCAATCATTAATAACAATTTAATTCTTTGAGTCGACCTCAGTGTTTAAATATGATCATAGCCAAATGTAATCATTTTATTCTTATTAACGAGAAAAAAGGAAATATAATGGTTTTTTTAAATGAATAGTGGTGATTATTCAGACGCCTTCAAAAAATGAATGGACAGCTCTGTTCAAACTCAAAAACTGCATCAGTTAATGCCTGTTAACAAATGTCTCTTAATCGACGTAACAGTCGTCTGTTATGAAAAAATAGACGTCTATCATAGACATACTTATACAAAAAATTTCACGAAAATAAGCTAACGGTTGGAAATTAAAATAGCATCAGAAATAATTTTACTAAGTACCTAAGAATTTGATTAATTATAATTTGGAACAAAAAATTTATATAAATTTTATCCAAAAATATATATAAGACAAGGACTCACCCACAAAAGAACCTAATCAGATCGAAACTAGAACAAGATCGAACACGGGCTTTGGCCCATGCATATGCATGTGCTTGTGCCGAGCCAAGCGAACGGACGGACAGACAGACAGATGAACTAATGATGCGTGGTGACACGCGCGTGCGAGCTTAGGACCGAACCCAATAGGATCTAGATCCGCCCCTCCCAAAGGCTAATGGTACCATTTGAGGTCCAAGCTCAATTGGCAAACTTCTACTATATAAATCACACAAAAGTTTCTAAGGTTCTTGTTAGGTTTTTTGATATCCAATAAATCCGGGCGATAATATAAAATCAATGTTGGATAAGTATTATATCGACACCTAAGATTGATGACTTGACCTTAAAACTATTTGGGGCCGTCGGAAGCAGTCTAATTAATTAAAGTTGCTCATGGCCCAGTTCCTCACTTAGTGGATGGTTTATTTGGCCCACTTATTATCTCCTTGTTGGGCTGATCTATTACTATACCATAAGTGATCCTATATATTTTATATATTTCTATTTACATGGCTTGGTCAATTGGGAAGTGTGCTTTGCCTTGAATTGAGAGACACACGATTGCCTTCCTTTTGCTTTGTGCTTCCGGCTTGAAGTTTGTCTTGTTATCTGCTCATTGTTCTTCCGCCTTTGTAGTTGCAAACACCTTCCCTTTTGTGTCCTAAGTGGGAAAACCGATAGCAACCAAAGAGAGGAGGGGTTTGAAGGTTTGGGATCAATTGCTTGGGTGTCGATCTATGTTGGAAACTGAGCCCAGAATTGAAGATTGGAGCACCAAAATCTAACATTTGGTATCAGAGCTCGTTAGTGGTGTTTTTTCCGACAAAGGCAGCTCCAAAACCAGTGAAGAAAGCTGCCCCAAATTCTGCCCAGATTTCTTCAAGAAAACCACACCTACAATCAGTTTTTCGGCTAAACGATAAGGAATTTGGAAAAATGGTGACCATTGGTGGAACGTCCAGGTGGAGGAGGTGCTGGCTGGGTGGCGCTGAGGTCGGTAAAGGCACGTGAAACCCACGCGGAGAGTACTTGGGCCGCGCGTGAGGGCGCGTGGAGGCTTTTCAGGTGACGGTTTTTTCATGCAGTTTTCTCATTTTGATTTCTTGAACGTATTGATATTATTGTCTTCGTGTTTCAGGTTACGCAGGAAAAGTTGGACAAATTTTGCCCTTTTAGTAGGTCGACGATCGCAAGTGCTATATATTTACTGAATTACTTTAGGCCAAAATCGCGGCCCGCTCTAGTAAATTGGTTTATCTCGTTTAAATTTCAGCATTAGCGCGTCATCGTGTGGGGTGACATTAGGATTTGGGTTATTGTAAAGGGATAACCATTGTTTGTACTAGAAATTTAAGAATTAATTGCTCTATTTGAAGTGTTGGTTTTAACTGCAAGTTGATATTTGCTTCTTTGTTTAATTGCGTAAGAATTTTGAAATTTTTGTTGATATACCTTCGTGTTACATTATTTATTCCGTTAAAACACCACCTTAACTTGACATGTTTGAACCTTCCCTTGATCTGAGATCTTGAGTCTCACAAAACCCTGAAAATTTAGAACGGTGTATATTGTTGCCTTATGATTACTTTGTGTGACATATCTGTACATTTTTTGTTGTTCTGTTTTTTTAAATCTTACAAAACCCTGAAAATGTAGAACGGTGTATATTGTTGCCTTATGATTACTTTGTGTGGCCTATTTTTGCATCTTTGTTGTTTTGTTTTTTCAAAATGTCTTCACATTTCGAAATTGAAATTTTCAATGGGAAATGAGACTTTTCAATTTGGCAACACAAGATTAAGGGAATTATGGTTCAACAAAAAGTTTCAAAAGCTAGAGATAGCAAATTTCTTGAAAATTTGACAGAAGCACAAAAAGAAGAATATGATGAATTTGCATACACTTCAATTATTTTACACCTGTCTGACACGATTTTGAGAAAAGTTGGAAAACTTGATTCTACTAAAGAATTTTGGTAAAAGTTGGAGGATTTATATTTGCTTAAATTTACTCTTAATAAGTTGTACTTATTTGAACGATTTTTTTAACTTTAAAATGGATCCTTCAAAGGATATTGATGACAATCTGGATGTTTTTAACAAGTTGGTTCAAGACATCTTTAATTGTGATGAAAATGCGTCTGAAACGTACTATTATTTTGCTTAATTACATGTCTGATTCGTATAGAGAAGTTAAGCATGCAATTAAGTATGGTAAGGACACCCTTTGGTGTATATAAATATACTGCAAACTCAATTTCTTCTTTCTTATGATATCTCTTACAAAATTATATTTGTATTAATATGTTTGGTTCTATTGTAATATTTGAGATCCTTTGTATATAGAATAGCTACCTGACTATCACAATAAATCAAAATAGGTCCCACATCACCATTAATGGCTCATAAATGCTGTAAAAATCTCTTTAACCAAACAACTTCTTGTATCACTGAAGCACGTGTTACAAATTCTGCTTCCATTGTGGAAACAGAAATGCAAGTCTGCTTCTTGCTATTCCAAGAGATAACGTCATTAGTAATCAAGAATACATATCTCAAAGTTGATTTACTCTCATCTAGGCCTCCAACACAATTAGCATCTGTGCATAAATCATTCTGTTGATAGCACAGGGAATAATTAGCAGTACCCTTCATGTATATCAATATTCTCTTAACAACTTTCCCAGGCCCGATTCTGGCCCAAGGCCACTGCCTCAATGACCTTGGGCCTCATTGTATAAGGGGGCCTCAAAAATTTTTTGAAAGCCCAAAACAATTATACATCATGAAATGTACAAATTATACATGGTACTAATATAAATTTTAATTTCAATTTTAATTTTACTGCCCACTTTTTTTTTTATTCTTAAAGTACATTTAGTTTTTAAAGAAAAATAAATAATTTTTAATAAAGAAAAATAACATAAATTAGCTTGATTATTGGAACATTTCAAGACTAATTAACGGGCAGTTTAAGAAATTAAGAAATTTAGGAATTACAAGAAGACTAATTAGTTACGATAAAATAATTTTTTTTGACTTATTTTATATAATACGTATTATATATGATATATAAAAAAAATTAGTATGTCAAA